GAGAAAGCAGGGGCAGGAGGAACTGCTTCTGTGAGACAGAGACAGGGACAGGGAGGAAACTCTGCTGCTGCCTGCCAGGCTCGGTTCCTGCTGCCCTACACTGAGAAAAAGATGAATTATTCCCTTCACAGGGGATTATCCCACGGCAATTCCATGGGATGGATCAAATTCCTACCCACAGGTGAGGAATAGGTGGAAGGGCCAGCTGGATGCTGAAAGGCTTTTGGGAATTTAGCAAGATTTTTTTCCCTGAACACCAAATTCATCACCTGTAGCATCAAGAAGTGCTGACCCTTACCTCCCATGACAGTTTTAGGTGATTATTCCAGTTATTTGTCCAATTCCAGCAATTTGCTCCCTGACAGCCGTCGTGCACAACTTGTCTCAGTTCACAGAATCATTTTGGGTTGGAAGGGACCTCAAATCCCACCCAGTGCCACCCCTGCCATGGCAGGGACACCTCCCACTGTCCCAGGCTGCTCCAGCCCCAGTGTCCAGCCTGGCCTTGGGCACTGCCAGGGATCCAGGGGAATCTGGGAATTCCATCCCAGCCCTGCCCACCCTGCCAGGGAACAATTCCCAGTTCCCAATCTCCCACCCAGCCCTGCCCTCTGGCAGTTTAAGACCATTCCCTCTTTTCCTGTCCCTCCATGCCCTTGGGAAAAGTCCCTCTCCAGCCTTCTTTAGGTAATGGAAGGGTTTTAGGGCTTAATGTAAGAAATTTTTGTAAACAACACTTATTTTGAATAAATTCCTTCTTTAATTCCCTTACAAAATGAAAAAAAACCATTATTTTATACAAAAGAAGAAGTTTTGACCTATAAGAAAAGAATCTAGGAAGCACTTTCCCAAACCAAAGCCTTTTGATAAGAACACCTGAAAACATTTTCTTGCTCCATTTGCGTTATCTTGTAATTGAATTACCAAAGCCTAGAGCCTGTCATTCCTGATAAAAGAACAAGTTAACCCTATCTGAGCATCAATCTGTGTATTTAAATTTAGGTCTTTTTTCGTGTTTCTGTGACATTTCTTGGGGCCTTCCAAGAAACGATACCCGTTGTTTCTAAATGAGCAAAATCAGGTTCTGCAGAAAGTTTTCCACTTCTGCTTCACAGTTTCTACTGATCTGATCTTTACGTGGAAGATTTCTTCCTCTGCAAGATTCTGAGAAAATCAGCGGCAACTGTTTCATCTTCCCTCTAGGAAATATTTTTATCTTTTATTGATGTCATTGGTCATGTCTCAGCTCTCTGACTGGGACCAATCAGACAAACACCATCAAGTCTGACACGATAATTTGTTTAAAGTGCCCTCCTGGTCTGAGGTGAAGCATCTGCATCTCCTCCACAGGGAATTTCTCTGATTTGTACAGCTGTGCTTTCACCTCATGGAATCCTGGAATGATTTGGGTTGGAGAGGAACTTGAAGCTCATTCAGTTCCACCCCCTTTAAACTTTTTTTTTAAAGTTTAAAAAAAGAAAAACTTTTTACGCTTCCAGTTTATTTAACTCACCCCATTTCTCCCATCTCACTTTTTTTGCTGCTCTGTTTGCCCTCACACCCCTCCCCAGGCAATGCTGATGGGAGAAATCCTTGCTGCTTAAAAACCTGAATTTTTCCATTCAAAAATCCCATCAGACCTGGGAAAATCTCGGTGGAGCTGCCATGGGTGACCGGGGGGTTGAGTCCCTGCCTTTCAGCAGTTTGTTCCATGCTTCCCCTCCTTCTTCCAGGCTTTAAATCCCCCATAAAAGCTCAGCTGCAACGCCTGGTAAATAATGGAATAGCTGGGATGAATTTTTCTTCACGGGGCCTCTGGAAAATCAAAGGGGCAAATTGATCTGACAACATCCAAGTGCTCAGTGTACACGGCATTAAAATGAATTTCTTGTTCGCTGTGAGGAGCAGCAGCCCGAGGAGTATCTCTGTCCTCAGTGTTTTCCTGGGGCTGTGCCAATGGTGCCTCATTGTCTGATTTCCAAGGGCTGTAATTGAGTGATAATTGCCAGTTCCTCTTTTGAACCAACACTCTCTGATAAACTTCACCACCATTTAGCTGGAAATCTGAGAGCTCTAAACAATTTATTTACCAAGAGAGATACAGACATCTCTTAACACACTGCACCACTGCCTGCCCTCCGTGTACATCGGCATTTGGACGGCGCCAATTAACAGCAGGCTGCAGTTTGGGCTTTTTAAAAAGAATAATTTAAATCATTTTTCTCTCTTCGATGTGAACCACTTGTTCAGGCTTTTTCCTGCCTGCACTGCCAGAGGAGTTTGGGGATGTTGTTTTGAGTGGAGTCAAGGGAATACCCGATTCCAGCCACTTGTGCAAAGTTCAGTGAAGAGGAAACAAATCAAGATAAGGGAGAATAAAGAAAAATTGTAGAAATAAAGAAAAGTTTTATTCCATTTGTGGATGGGATGATGCAGTCTGGATTTGTGCTGGTTTTCTCATTTAGCTGTTAATATCTCATCGCTCTCTGGAAGTAACAGCCTCAGAATTACAAACTGGCCACTCCCTTCACCTCAAAGCTTTTTCGGGAGTATTTTCCGTGGTAGAAAGGTGGATGTAGGCGTGACACCTGAATTCCTGCTGCTGTTCAGACCTACAATAGCAGAGCCCAATAGATGGCACATTCCTGCTGCACTTGTTAGAGTTGTAACCCAGTAAGTTTATCCCCAGGGTGAACTTTCAAAAGTATTATTTAAGAAAAGTCCCCAGATGGTAGAAACATAGGGCTGGAAGGGACTAGAAACGTCACCTGCCTTAAAAAATTGTTATTCTTGAGAGCTATTTCTCCAGCCTGTTCTTAAAGTCTCCAGAGGTGATGGGACCAACATGCTCAGAAAAGCCTCAGAGGTTGGGAATTTGATCTATGCTGAGCCAGACCCTTCTGTTCTGCACCTGCTGCCCACTCTCCTGAAATTCCATGAATATCCTGAGCTGGACGGGATCCATCCAGTCCAAGTCCTGTCCCTGCCCAGACTTGCCAACAATCCCAGCCTGGGCATCCCTGGCAGCGCTGCCCAAAGGCTCCTGCAGCTCTGGCAGCCTCGGGGCCGTGCCCATTCCCTGGGCAGTGCCAGCACCTCTGGGGAAGAGCCTTTCCCTAAAATCCAACCTAAATCCCTCCTGGCCCAGCTCCAGCTGCTCCCTGGGTGCTGTCCCTGTCCCAAGGAGCAGAGATTAGAGCTGTCCCTCTGTTATTCATTAAATTTTATCATTTGTGTATTCTTAAATTATTAGTCCACTTATTATTCACATTACCCTTACTACTCTTTTCCTCCTTGTCTTCTTCTATGTATTTTTCAGTTCCTATGACTATTCTACATCTATGTATATTTAAAATTTTCATCTTCTTTATCTTCTTCTCCCAGCAGCAGCAGCAGCAGCAGAGCCCCAGAGCTGCGCTGCTGCTGCGCTGCTGCTGCGCTGCTTTGGGCTCTGTGGCTGCACAGCCCCGTGCAGCTGCTGCCGCAGGGATGTGTCAGGAGCAGCACAGAGCTGCTGCTGCTGCCTCAGCTGGGGCTGCAGCGGGGGAACCCCTCCCGCCCGGCCCAGGGCTGCTGGAGGCAGGCAGGGCTGCAGGAACAGCCCCGGCCCGGCTCCCCGGCCACGGGCAGCGGCAGAGCGGGGCTCCGCTGCCTTCGCTGTGCTGCCTGCACAGCCCTGCTGCAAAGGGCTGCCCGGCACAGCTCTCTGCCAGCCGGGCTCAGCCTGCGCCTCCCGTTTGCCCGCAGAGAGCAGCGACAGCCCTGCCCCGCCGGCCCGGCCGGGAACTCTCCCGCTGCCGCCGGGGCTGAGCCCGCGCTGCCCGCGGGGCGCTCCGGGGCTCGGGCTGGGACAGCGCATCGGCACCTCGGAGAGACAGGACACGGAATCTGGGCACTCTGCTCTGGGGCCTGACCGACGGTGTTAGCAAACACACAGATTCTTCAATAGCGGGAACTGCGTGGGGGCGTTATGATGCATTGTGGTTACAGCATATGGTACATTAATGTTTTTATTTCATAACTGTAATAGAAATATACAATATGTAATAGCAATAAATTATTTCTAAGTTTTATTTATTTCTTCAATTTTCTCTTCACTTTCCTATTCTTATTCTTCTTATGGTTTATCTTCTTCCAACACTTTACTATTCTTCTTGTTTGCTACTTCTATGTATTTTTATATTCTTATTCCTATTCCTATTCTTCTTCTACATATTTTAAAACTCTTATTCCTATTCCTATTCTTCTTCTTCTACATATGTAAAAATTCTTATTCCTATTATTCTTCTTCTACATATTTTGAAATTCTTACTCCTATTCCTAGTACTCTTCTTCTTCTAAGTATTTCTAAATTCTTATTACTATACTTCTTCTATCTATTCTTAAATCAACATTCTATGTCTTGTCTTTTTAGTCTTCATCTTTGTCTTCTTCCTCTTTGTTGTCTTCTTCATCTTCTTCATCCTATTTGTCGTCATCTTCTTCACTGTCTTCATCTTTGTCTTCTTCCTCTTTGTTGTCTTCTTCATCTTCTTCATCCTATTTGTCGTCATCTTCTTCACTGTCTTCATCATCTTCATCTGCTGAGTCGTCGGTGTCCTCTTTTTCTGTGTCTTTGTCTTCATCTTCTTTGTCTTGGTCTTCTTTGCCGTTGTCCCGGAGGGGTTTGTGCTGAGAGTCTGTTCCAGGAGCCTCTGCTTTGTGCCCAAGAAATGGTTGTTGCACCTTCCAGCCCGGGGCCGGGTGTGTGCGGGGCAGGGATGGGGGAGCTTTGGGCTCTTTGGGTGGGCATTTTCCAAGCCTCACTGCCCAGGTCTTCATGGCTCTGCCTGCTTGGGCTTTGCTTGGCTTGTCTGGCCCATCCAAAGGCTTTTCTCTTCCCAGATTTGGAGGAGCTGCAGCAGCAATCTCTGAGCCCCTCGAGCCGAGCCGAACAGCTGCTGCTCCGACACAGAGGAGCGGGACTGGCAGGAGCGGTCATCTTCATGTTCTTCCTGTTCTTAACCTTCCTTCTCTTCCTCCTCTTCACCCTTTTCCGTGCCCGTTTTACTCCTCGGTGCGTGGTCTGAGGCAGGGACAGCGGAACAGCCCCCGCAGCGCCCGCAGCGCCCGCCTGAAGCGGGAGGGACGTTTCCTGGGGGCAGCCGGCTGCCCGCGGAGGGCCTGGGCTCCCAGCCGGGCAGGCCAGGGGCTGGGGGGCTGTGCGGGGCAGGCGCCGGCCCTTGGCTGCACGGCTCCTGTGCCGGGCACTCAGCCCAGGCCTCCCGAGGGACGGGCACTGGGAGCCCCTCTGCCACTAAAACTTCCCTTTTCTGGTGTTTGCCGTCTTCTGGGGGCAGCTCCAGGAGGCTCACATCGTCCCACTCATCGTCCTCGGGGCACAAGGGCTTGGCCAAGATGACGTGCTGGGGCCAGTTCTCCTGCACGAGCCCCGTGTCGCTGTCGTCGCCCCAGCTGGAGAGTCCTGAGGGTCTGCTGCCATTCCCTCTGGACACCTCTTGGCCAAGGTGTTCTTCCCAGTCCGAAAGCTCTTCGCAGCTGACGACATCTCCTCCGCACAGCACTTGCTCAGGGTATTCTTCCCAGTTGGAGGGGCCTTGGGAGCTGCTGACTACACCGTGGGGCAGATCTTCCTCTGTGTATTGTTCATAGTAGGACACTTCCTGGGACAGTTCTGGGTCTCCAACCAGGAAAGGCTCCAGGTCATACAAGAATTGCCAGAATTTCATTTCCTCATTGGAGTCGTCCGTCTTCTCCTGCACTGCCAGCCCTGACCCTGCTGCTGCCTCCTCAGCAGCTCCGGACGGGGCAGCAGCTGCCGGCTCGGCCTCCGTGGGACTGCCGGGGAGAGGAGAGGCGCTGGGCAGGGCAGGGGCTGCCTCTGCTGCCACCTCTGTGCCCACGGGGCTGGCAGAGCTGGGCCCCTCTGGGGGAGAAGGCTGGGTGTCCCCCTCCTTCACTGGGCCCACAGGCTTCTCCCCAGAGCTGGAGCTCACATCGTCCTCCTCCTGGGACAGCTCTTGGATGAGCGAGACTGTCCCCTGGGACAGCTCTGGCTCCACTTCTTCTTCCTCTTCCTCACTGTTGGATGACCAGTCGCTGTCCGGAGCCAAGGCCTCCAGGCTCCAGTGCTGTGACAGCACTGGCCCTGCCAGCGCCAACACTGCCCTCTCCAGCTCCTCCCAGAGGGCCTGGGCTCCCAGCGGGGCAGACAAGGGGCTGGGGGTTCTGTGTGGGGCAGGAACCGGGCTCTCTTCCTCACTATCAGAATCCCAGTCGCTGTCCGGAGCCAAGGCCTCCAGGCTCCAGTGCTGTGACAGCACTGGCCCTGACAGCGCCAACACTGCCCTCTCCGGCTCCTCCCAGAGGTCCTGGGCTCCCAGCGGGGCAGATGAGGGGCTGGGGGTGCTGTGTGGGGCAGGCACCGGACCCTCTGTCATCTCTGCCGGGCCTCTTGCTGCCCCTGCTGGATCCTCCCTTTCCCCCAGGTGCCTCTGTTCCTCCGGCTGCTGCCTGCATCCCTGGATGTGCAGCAGTGCCTGGCTCACCATCTCACCGCTGATGCTCCAGGCCAAGTCCAGCAGAGCCTGGCTGCAGCCCGGGGGGCTGGGAGGGGCAGGGACCGAGCTCTGTGTCCCTGCGGATGGCAGCTCCTCCCTGGGGGCAGGAGGCTCCGCTGCCTTTTCTGCCTCAGGAACAAGAGGCTCAGGGGGCTTCTCCTCCTCCTCAGCAGCTCCAGCTGGGGCAGCAGCTGCCGGCTCGGCCTCCGTGGGACTCTGTGGGGCAGGAGAGGCGCTGGTTAGGGCAGGCACTGCCTCTGCTGCCACCTCTGTGCCCACGGGGCTGGCAGAGCTGGGCCCCTCTGGGGGACAAGGCTGAGGCTCCTCGTCCCTCGCTGGGCACAAGGGTCTGTCCCAGATCTCAGAGCTGATGTTGTGTCCCCATCGGGACAGCTCCTGCCTGCTCACATCTTCCTCCCTTTGGGACAGCTTTCGCTCACTCACATCGTCCCACCGGGGCAGCTCTTGGGCTGCAGCGTCTGCTCCTTGGCACAGCTCCCTGCCACTGCTGTCTCTCACTTGGGACAATTCCAGCTCTCTCCTGTCTTCCTATTGGGACATGTGGCAGTGCACACCTTGTCCCCATGCTGAGAGGTCTTGGTACCTCTCACCTTCCCTCTGGGAACGCTCTTGGGCATCATCCCATTGGGAATCCTCTGGGACACTCAGATCTCTCTGCAGGGACAGCCCTCGTGGCACCTCTCGTCTTCTCCCCATTCCATCTCCTGCCACCCAGTCACATCTATTTCCCACTGGGAAATCTCTTGGGTTGTCACTCGTTCTTCCCTCTCCCGCCCCTCTTGGTACATCTCACTGTCCTCCTCCCACTGGGACAGCTCCTGAGCTCTGATGGTTTCTTCCCCTTCATAGAGCTCTTGGTGTGTCCCCCCTCTGTACTGGGAAACCTCCCAAACTCTCACACGTACCTGGCCTTGGTACAGCTCTTGGCCGCTCCTCGTTCCCTGCCAGGACATTTCTTGGGCTCCTGGAACTTCTCTCTGCTGGGTCTCTTTCACACCTTCCCTCCGGGAAAGCTTTTGGCCCATTTTGGCCAAGATCCTCTCCTCCTCCTCACTCTGTGACAGCGACAGGACTGAGCTGCCCACTGCCCCTGACCACGGCTCGCTGGTGGCTTCCAGCCAGCTGGGCAAGGAGCTGTGGGACCGGGAGTTGGAGTTGGCTTTGTCCTTGTCGCTGTCGCTGTCTGTCGCTGTCGGCCGCTATCACTGTCGGCGTCAGGCGCAGACAGAGCCAGGGAGCTGCTTCCTCCTCAGAGAGCGGCTCTCCTGGGAATGAGCACCCCAGGGCTCCGCGCCCCTTGGAGACCCTCAGCCCTGGCGGAGCTCCCTGATGTCACAAGGGTCTCTGGCCACCACCAGGTCCCACATCACAAAGGGCCACCCCGGAACCCCAACAGCAGTGGAGCACACAGGAACCTGTTGCAGTTTGTATTTATTTCATTAAGTTATTGTTAAATGGTTCATTCTGTTATCCCCCCACATCTTCCCCAAGTTGTTTTTTTCCCTATGTTGTACACTCCCTTTGAAGGTGTCCCTCAAGTTATTCCCCTCCCTTGGTCCCAGTCCCTTCCCTGCCTGTCCAGGTAACCCTGCCCCTTTTTCCTGAATGTTCCCTGCCACTCAGCCCCTGGGCCAACCCCTAATTGAAACCCCCACTTGGAAATCCCCTAATCCAGGATGCCCCATTGGCCCCTGTGCCTTTCCCTCTGCTCCCCCGATCCTGATTGTCCCACAGTGTTGCTGTAATCCCCTCACTCCTGCCCTGAGGATTCCCTGTTGCTTCTCTGTTTGTACCAACCGCCTGACTTGGATCTGAGCAAAACCCCTTGCAAACGAGGGTGAGGGGCTCTTTTTTATCCTGCTCTCTGCACCTCGAATAAGCTTTCCCTATGGAAGCTCAAGGCAAAGCGGCTCCTGTGGTGGATAGGGACAGGCGAACAGAATATCTCGGGATGTGACGGAAAGAGAGACCCTTCCCCCTTTCTCCCTGCTTCACGTTATCTATTAACCCCAGAGCATGTAACCACACCTAACCCAGTAGTTTTCCACTCCCGACTAACCTAGAGACCCTACCAACCCACCTCTGACGTAGCAAAGTCCCCCAAGACTATTTAAATTCATGAGATAAGATAATAAAGGCTTTTGGCCATCCACCACATTGGTGTCAGCGTGTGTCGTTAGTCCGAGTAGCCCGGACAGGCCGGGCTGCCATGCTGTCTTCTTGCAACCAGGTCGCCGTTGTCTTTCATAAAGGCAACAGGCTCCTCCTTCCTCCTGGGCCTGCTCCCTGCCGTGGCTGTAACAGCGTGCAGGGCAGAGCTCGCAGCTCTCCAGGTTCAGCTGTGGGCAAAGCCCATTCCCCAGCTGTTCCCCAGTCCCGTCGTGGCTGCCGGAGCGCACAGAGCCAGCCCGGGTTGCGGGGGGCTTGGGCAGGAGCTGGCTGGGAGCATCCCCGGAGCGGTGTCCTGGCGGGCCCGGCTGTGCCCCGAGCCCTGCGAGGCTTTGGCCCCGCTGGCACACGGCTGTGGGCACCACCATCGCTGCCACCCTGCTGAACTCGGCTCCCCCGGCTTTGCCCCAGCTGTGGAATCAGGAGAGCACGGGAAGGACTCGTGTTTCTCATCCCCTTCCGCACCACAACCTCCAGGTTTCAGGCAGAGATAATTCGGAGGGGTTATCAGTGTTCAGCAATAAAGGAAGCAGGGGCTGACCTGCCTTTACCAAAGTCAGCCTGTCTGGGGTCAAGAGTGCAAAAGACTCATTTGCACTTGTGTCTAACAATACAAAAATTGATTTGCACGTTCAGTGGGTTCCATTTATCTCTTTGTCTAGGGGAAAAGCACCTCTGAAGGTTTAAGAGGGATTTCTGCTCTGGCTAATACTCCTTCCACAAACTGTCCTGTTAAAAGATATGATTATTGCCCATGATTTTTGAGTACTCAACTTAAACAGCATGGTTTTTATCCATACAGGCTGTTTTGCAGGATGCCAAGCTTTTAAAATGTCTCTCCTTTAACTGAAAATAGAATTTTGTAAAAGACCACATTCACAAATAATTGGAGCAGCATCTCTGTGTTTGCAGCCAAATCTGAACCAAAAAGATCCCTGTTTTCTTTAGTGACCTGATGTGTCTTTCCATGTTTCAACCTCAGAAGATTTTATGGTGCAGTTCAAAATCAGAGAGTTTTCCCTTTTGTTTCTCTGTAACTTGGGAAGAACTGGCTTGGAGTTCTCAACCTATGTTTCTTGGAAAATGAGACATGAACTCCACTACAAACTCACCCTGATGAAGCACTTTGCGAAGAGCTGCAGTGAAACTTTTAGATTTGATCAGGAACTGCTTGAGTTTATATCTGGTCCTGCACAGATTGAGAAGAGCAGATGAAATAATCAATTCCAACACATTTCTTTAGAAATTGAAGATGCTTTTGCCACTGACATTTGAGACTTCAAGAAATCAGCGCTCGTTTCAAAATGGAAAATGCACTTTTCCTTTCCAAATGAGAGAGGTGTGGCTGCATCAAATCCATTCTCCAGTGCTAATATAGAAATTAGCTTTTAGTAGAATCATCTCTGCAGCACTCCCCACCCTTTTGTTTCCCTCTCTCTGTCTGAAATGACCACAATATCCTAAATTAACACTGAACTCACTCAAACCACACATTTAGCTGTTATCTTGCCTTCAGTTTTCTTCTCTCATCCCCATCCTGCTGCTGCTTCTTAACTCTCTTAGAAATTATTGAACTCTCACTTGGCTCTGGAGCAGCACTTCAGAAAGAAAGTCATCTGGCACACATTTTATTATGATGTTTTCTCTTAGATTTTCCATGGAATCACAGAAGTTTTAGGTTGGAAGGGATCTTAAAAATCATCCAATTCCACCTGGACACCTTCCACTATCTCAGGTTGCTCCAAGCCCCATCCAACCTGGCTTTGAAGGTTTTGGATGAAGAATAGCAACAGTTCTCTTCCACCTGTGACAGCTCCACATCCCCCACCAGCACCCAAAAGCAGGGGAAAAAAGGAGGAAAACTCATATCAACAGCAATTAAATAAAAATTAAATAATGGAATCCTGCACCAAAATGCTGGCCATGAACTCCACCTCCAGTTTCATGCCTGAGGTTTGTCTGCCTGATTAGCCAACATGGAAGTTTGGCTTTTTCGTGCTTCCCCTTGGGAGAAGTTTGGCTTTAAGTCCAAACCTTGTGGTCACTCTCACTATATTTCCCCCAGAACTGTGCTGCTGTGGCTGTCTTAAAATAAATGGAGTTTTAAAGGGAAAAAAAAGCAGAAAATAACCGATTTTCTTTTTTATCATGAAAGGAGAGAATTTTTTTCCCGAAATCCTCCTTGGAAAGGCTTGAATGGGGTTGTGTGTGTACAATTATATCTGAATGTGCTTGTTACTATTCAGAAGGGACCTCATGGGATAAGTAAGAAGTGGAAAATATGATCTTAAACCAGGAAAAATCAAGGAAAATCTGCAATGTTGCCCAGAGAAGTTGTGGATTTCCCATCCCTGGAAGTGTCCAAGGCCAGCGTGGACAGGGCTTGGAGCAACCTGGGATAGTGGCAGGTGGAATGGGATGGGCTTTAAGGTCTCTTCCAACCCAAACCTTTCTGGGATTCTATGGATGCTCCTCCTGCAGCATCCTGAACTTGTCCCTACTCTTCAGCACAAAGATTTCCAGTCCTACCCTCTTAAAACAACTCATTTCCCTGTGTTTATCTTGGCCTGGGTGGCTCAGAAACATCCTCTGTTTTTCCCTAATAATAAAAAAACGACAGTGCACAAAACGTGTGACAGAACATTTGTCTTCAAAACCCTCTCAGAGTTCCAGCATGAGCTGTTTACTCTCTTTACCGCAGTGAAAAACAGCAGCTGGTTGGTTTGATTTTTTTTTTTTTTGGTGGGTTTTTTTTTTTTTTTTTTTTTTTGTTTGTGTTTTTTTTGGTGGTGGTGGTGGGGAGGTGTGTTGTGGGTTTTTGTCTTTGTCAGGCATTTAACAGTATTTTATCTGCAACGGGAAACCAGGGTTACGACTAGGTCAGGTTGTAGGGTCTCCCAGACCACCGAGGAAAACAATAAACATGCAGACCCTTGGAAAAGGAGAAGGGAAACGTTGCCTCCATAAAGAATAAATCAAGGGCTTTTCCAGGAAAGAGCAAAGGGAATGTGTGGGGATGCCAGAGGGATTTCAGGCATGACAGGGAGCAAGGATCTGAGCTCGTGTGCAGCTCCACGAGGGATGTTGTGAATCATCAAATCAGGGAATCATGGAATGGTTTGGGTTAGAGGAATCTTGAAGCCCGTCCAGTTCCACCTTCCACGGTCCCAGGTTGCTCCAAGCCCCATCAAACACCTCCAGAGATCGTTTGGGAAAAGGGGGGAAGGAAAAGTGGGAGACAGAGAATTGTTGGCAAAGCCCAGATTCCTCCCCAGCACCCTCTGAAATCCGGGAATGTTCCTTCCTCCTTCAAAGTTGGGGTGAATTCAGCATCCTGAGGAGGGAGCCAAGGCTCTGTCGGTTCGGAGTTCAGGCATTTAATCCCTAACAATTGTTGGGGAAAGGAAAGGGAAAAGGAAAGGGGAAAGGGGAAAGGGGAAAGGGGAAAGGAAAGGGGAAAGGGGAAAGGGAAGGGAAAGGGGAAAGGGGAAAGGGGAAAGGGGAAAGGAAAGGAAAGGAAAGGAAAGGAAAGGAAAGGAAAGGAAAGGAAAGGAAAGGAAAGGAAAGGAAAGGGGAAAGGAAAGGAAAGGAAAGGAAAGGAAAGGAAAGGAAAGGAAAGGAAAGGAAAGGAAAGGGGAAAGGAAAAAAGAGAGAGGAAGGGAAAGGAAGAGGGGAAAGGAAAGGAAAGGAAAGGAAAGGAAAGGGGAAAGGAAAAAAGAGAGAGGAAGGGAAAGGAAGAGGGGAAAGGAAGAGGGAAAGGAAGAGGGAAAGGAAGAGGGAAAGGAAGAGGGAAAGGAAGAGGGAAAGGAAGAGGGAAAGGAAGAGGGAAAGGAAGAGGGGAAAGGAAGAGGGAAAGGAAGAGGGAAAGGAAGAGGGAAAGGAAGAGGGAAAGGAAGAGGGAAAGGAAGAGGGAAAGGAAGAGGGAAAGGAAGAGGGAAAGGAAGAGGGAAAGGAAGAGGGAAAGGAAGAGGGAAAGGAAGAGGGAAAGGAAGAGGGAAAGGAAAGGAAAGGAAAGGAAAGGAAAGGAAAGGAAAGGGAAAGAAAGGAAAGGAAAGGAAAGGAAAGGAAAGGAAAGGAAAGGAAAGGAAAGGAAAGGAAAGGAAAGGAGCTCTTCCTTTCCATGCCTAGCCTTCCTCCCTCAAACCAGGATGGGATAGGGATGCTGTACCCGGAGAGGGAAAAAGCGACTCAAAGAACACCTGAAAGCAAAGCTGTCAGTGCTGAAGGAAGAGGGGGCAGCGTTTTGGTGCTGAATAACCCCGAGAGCAGCCTGGCTCATCAATCCCGGAGTTAATTATCCTGCTAACGAGGTGAAGATGTGGCACAGCTGATAACGGCCCCGATAAAGGAGCTAACAAGGGAAAGTACCGATAGCTTATCTAAAGCTGCTGAGCTGCCGCGGCTGCCTGGGACAGCTGCCTGACACTTTATCCCATAAAAACACAGTCCCACGTCCCCTTTCGTCGAGATTCCTCCCAGGAGCGGGGAATTCCCTTAAGAATAAACACAAATTTAGCCCCCTTTCCTTGCTCTGGGTGAGTGCCGTCAGTCTCTATGCAATTATTGGTGTATTAATTTAATTAATAGTTACATTAATTTTATCGCTTCAATATAGTGCACTCTGTCAGTAGCTATAGCTACTACTCTGCAGTAAATAATTCTGATTAAGGTTTTTAATAATTGTCATAATATATTATTTTTATACGAATATATTTGCATTGCCATTCTTAATCTGGAGGGACAAAGTTGTATAAAAGTTCAATTACATCTATATAATCATTTAAATATAAAC